TAATATATTTTATTTTCAGTCTCCAACATCCAATGACTCGAACGATGAGGAAGAGTAGCCTGTAGAATATGCTATACCACGTCTTGAAGATGAGCAACGACGTCTTGTTGATACGACTGCATTAGAAATGATTTGTGATTATCAACGTGTGACACAATGAATGGTAATACTAGAAATCCCATTATCGCTTTTCAGCGGATGAGGAGCGGAGAAAAGTAGCATTATATAACATGCAAATGCTCCTCATTACCATGTCTAAAGATATATGACAATTTGTGAACACAATTGGCATCATCGAAAAAACACGTAGGACAACTCCAATAATAGAAAATCAAGTCTAATTGACTGATAATGGGTTCAAACTAATTGAGACCTACATGCAATTGTTTGAAAATCATGTAGACACTCCTAGTTTGAATCGGATGCAAGTTCCCATTTATCAGCCATAAATGTAATCTAATTATAAATATGGATAGTGTAATGTCTTTTGAAACTGAATTTTGCAAAAGGAATAGTAGGATTATCTAAAATGAGCATTGTAAATCCTAATACATACTTAGATTGTTTTCCACAAATTAGGATATTATAAGGGATACATATTTTGTTTGCAGTCAATAAAATCTCCTCTAATTCTAACAACATCTGGTAGATGGCCCTGTTCTGCACAAAGCTTACTAATCTCCGCATTTGCATCTTCAATCTACTTCTTAGCTTGTTTCACTTCTTTCATATCTTCAATAACCCATTTTCCTTTTTCATTTACTTGTTTTGCTAGATTGTCTTCACGTTGATTTAGTATGTGACTTCTTTCAAAGTTTATTTCCTTTGCTTCTTCAGCAACCTTCATAGCTTGGAAAATGTCATCAGACATTTTATCCGGAAGTGGGAAATTTGGGCCTTCCGGAAACAAGTTATTATCTGAACAAACATAACAATCTTCCTATTTACAATGCAAAACACCATCGTAAGATGAACTCATTCCAATTTTTTTTTTATTCTATATTGAAGATGCATGCTAGTTGCATTTTAAGGTCTAAAAGCAATGTCCAGAACGAGGGGCCAAAATAGCAATTCCGGAACATGGCTCCAGAATGTGGTTCAAGAATGAGTGTCTGAAATAGTTTAAGGAATCTATGACATTTACTGTTCGGAATGACTAGACATACTTTCAGTAATCTATGACATTTACTATTCGAAATGACTACACAAACTTTCAGGAATCTATGACAGTTACTGTTCGAAATGACTACACATAGTGTCAGAAATCTATGACAATTACTGTTCCTAATGACAAAACATAGTGCAAGCTATCAATACAGGTTCGAAGCCTATGAGGATGAATGCTAGGTGCATTTTAAGGTCTAAAAGTAATGTCTGGAACGATGGTCCGAAATAACAATTCCGGAATGTGGTTCCGGAATAATGTCAGGCATCTATGGTTGTAGTAAATGCCATTATATAAAGGAATTCAAGCGTCCAAACTCTTAATGTTGTTTAATTTACTACTAAAAATTCATATCTCACACTCCAAACAAATGACATACTGCGATTGTGGCTCTCAGGGTATTATAAGGACATCAACGACTAGAAATAACCCTGGATGACTATTTTACGCTTGTCCTAAAGAGGTATGTGGGTTATCCTTTCATTAGTTTTCTTTGAATTAATATTAATTTACACAATATACATCATGTGTTTGATATTAAATTTTCAGGGGCCACAGTTTGGGTTTATCTGTTGGGTTGACAAAGCAAATTACAATAACTCGTTAATAATCTGTAACTTAGTTCGATCGAAGAAGAAGATTGAAACTCAAAATTTGTACTTGAAGATAGAGTTAATTTGTAGTTGAATTTTCTTTTTTGAAATTATTATGTACAAGCTGTAAGTTTTATGTTCATCAACTAAGTTTATGTAACGCTTATTAATTAATCTATGTAATATGTAATGTTTGCTTCTTTGTTATTATTACTATGGTACTTGTAAACTACGTTTTTTTTTTCTATTTTTGTAATGTGTAACAAATATTAGGGCAATAATAATATTTTCCCTTAGACACTGTAAATCAATTACAAACATAATTAATTGCAATTACATTGGCAATAAAACAACCATTAAAGGGTCTGGTATTCCCATTATGATGGAGGGGGAAGAGGGTGCACAGTTTGTGTTCGGTAGGCAATTTGAAACACATAAGCACAGTAATATATATATATATATATATATATATATATATATATATATATATATATATATATATATATATATATATATGAACCATATCAGATAATTCATGGATGTTCGAACGATGTGATGTCGCTATAGCATGGTCGCATGATATACCAGAATGCACAATTTCCCATATGAACATGTATGACGGTTTAGATCTACGATTTTTTTTAAAATAAAAAACTCGATAAATGTCGAGCGGGAACGGAAACGGGATCTCTGGTAGGATCTTTGTTGTTTGCCACCGAACAGACTTTTGCATCCTTTTATGAAACATCATTTCAACATACGAGGTGAGTATGGTAGTCAACCTCCATGAAAAGTAAATATGATCAAATAAGGTTATTGTACAAATAATTAAATAATTTAATATTGCACCCGATATTTTACCTTCCATCAAACTGGTTCAACAAAAGTCTGTTGAATGTAGTCACAAATTTCCTCGGTAAGCGTTACAATCGGTACATTGCGTTGATTTACCGATAACACCAATTTTTTAGGGAACATCAATGGTGATTACATTCCAACAGATGTTAAGGAAATATGTTCTTGCCCATTTCACATGACCGATGTTGGCAAGCACTTCACGAGCACTAGGGGTTAGCCAACATAAGTTTTCTTCAAAATCAGACATAATATATGAGTTGGATGTCATCCAAAACAAATGTTCGAATGTTCTACCAGAGACGCCTCTTGTGTGCATATATTTGAACACACTTTTAGAAGTATACCCATGATAGGAATCAGGGAATACATGATCTATGCAAGAACTAACGACATTGTCCATATTGGTTATGAACGATACTTCATTGCCCTATCTGAGAGTTTCTTTTAACCTCGTCAGGAACCAGGTATAACAGTAGATATTATTTTCCACTACTAGACCAAATGTTATAGGGAGGGTCTAGTTGTTCTCATCCATAGTAACCACTATAAACATTGTTTTAGTTAGTCATCTCTAAGACGGACACTGCCTATGAAGATGACATACAGGAAACAACTTATGAATGCTTGAACATGTATTTTTTTGGGAACACAAACCGATTAGTTTATATGTAGAAACGTTATCAATTTTAAAGAAACAATTGAAAACGTGGAAAACAAATATATCACCCATCCAATAGCCACAAAACAAGCTTCGAAACGATTTATCAAATCAGTTTTGATGTGAGTGTAAGTATGTGAGTTGATTTGTCTAAGGTTGTAAAGGTAAACATGCAGGTTGTTAAAACTTTCTTCGTGTCCATTCTCTGAAAAACTCATTTTGAAACAGTTATAACAGATAATTACGATTACTTGGTTCGCCTAGGGTTGTGAATGTATGGTTCTAAGCATATGCGGACACATATATATGTTGGAGACGAAAATTGAAGTTTTAATCCGAAATGCAAGGTCCAAAATGTATCTCCAGAATACGATCTCTGAAACGGATACTGCTACTCCAGAATGGTATGTTCCGGAGCATGCGATCATTTTATTAAAAAAATTGATTATTTTATAAAAATGGTCGTATATAAATGTTAGATTAATCAATTTTTCTTTAAAAAAACCTTTTTAAGCTAATAAAAAACTTTATACAAAGCTATATTTGAGATACTCAAAGACAAAAGTACGAGAGAAAAGCTTTTAAAATTCCAAAATATAATTTTACCGAATCTAGAAATAGTTGTATACTTTGTATGATTGAAAATTTCAACAAAAATTAATGCATAAAAAATCTTATGTTCCGTGATAAAACTGAAAATAACACAAGTTAAAGGACAAAAAAGTCATTTTTACCTAATAGAGCAAAAAATATGATTTTCTACATTTGATTTTTCCAATCTTTTTGTTTGATGGAGAGACTTTATGGGTGCCGACTTTATTGGTGGGGAGAGGAGAGCGACTGAGTTAAGAAGAGACAGATCTTATTAGAAAAAAGTCACACGTCAATCAATTATTGCCAGCTCTAAACGTATCTCCGCCGTGATTGCCACGTCTTCACCCAAATCTAATCAGAAAAAGATTTCCGATCAAACATCTTTCTTGATTTTCCGGTGCTCGCTTCAATTGGGGAAGATTCGTTTGGTATTATCCTTCTGGGTTTATCATATTCCGATGAAAGAGTACCGAATCAGGTAACATCTGGTTTATTTTTCATTAATCTGATCTTATTTCAACATTCTCGATGTGGGTTTCTTCTCTGGATCTTTTTTATTCGGTTTTATTATTCGTATGTTGTTCTCACCTTCATCGATTGTCGTTTCTCGAGATCTTTTGAGCTCAACTTGAGGCTACTAATGATTCAGATATTTATTGTGATTGATGGTGAAAGTTGCCGAAATTGTGGTGTATGATGTAAAAGTGGAACAAGTTGATTCCTTTATGCATCATGCTGAATGGAGTATGACTTCGTTCTTAGTCAGATAAAATTGGCTTCTAGTGCTTTCCTTGATCATATCCTGTAGTTTTCCCTTAAAAGAATCAAAGATATTTCAAAGTTCAAACCCAATTATTTATTCCTGAGGATAAGTAAGCATCTGATGCCATCATGATTCGTACCAAACCTTGATTCTTGTAAAGTCTGTTGTCCTTTTCTCGACTCTTATATGTTTTAAAACGCATTGTTTATTTGAGTGGATAGGTAACCCCCATATTTTAATTCTTTCTGTCACTTGTTCTTCAATCTTGATCATCACTTACACATTTCTTCTAGTTTACCCACTCATACATATAAATTCAATAGGTATCGTAGCATAATCATTAAGTAATTCAAAGATTCTTCACAAGAAATGGAGAAGAAACAGAAGAAGTTTCTAACAGTTGCACCCTTCGAATGCGCATGGCGTGATGATTTGAGATTTAAAGAAGCTGGAAGAGGGTGTGTCGCATTTGAAGCATTTGCTCACAATGACGTCACTGTAGTTTTCCGAGAACAATTAGGTAGTCAACACTACCATTACAAAAGAGACAACAGTCCTCATTATACAGTAATCATAGGTAGTCATAGAAACCGAAGGCTAAAGATTGAAGTAGATGGAATCACCACAGTCGATGAAGCAGGTTTAGGTTTATGTTGTTCTTCCGCATTTCAAAGTTATTGGATAAGCATCTGTGATGGGTTGATTAGCATTGGAAAAGGAAGGTACCCTTTTCAAAATCTCGTGTTTCAATGGCTTGACACAAAACCCAATTGCAGTGTTCAGTATGTTGGACTCAGTAGTTGGGATAAACACGTTGGTTACAGAAATGTTAATGTGCTTCCATTAACGCAAAACCATATTTCCCTTTGGAAGCATGTCGATTGTGGGGAATACAAGGGAGAAGACGATATGGAAGAAGATTTGAGGGACGAATTCGGTAACTTCGATAATCATCAGGGGCTTGGAAGTTTTCTTGAAATTTGGGAATTATCCGATGTGTATTTCATCGTGGGTGACGAGGAAACTCTAGTTCCTGCTCATAAAGTGATCCTTGCAGCAGTCGACAATCTTGATTTGAGCTTATTAAATCAAGATTTTATCTCAATCAAAGATGTTACTTATCCAGTTCTTCACGCGTTTCTTCGGTTTATCTACACAGGCTTTACCCAGGTATTTTTAACGCATTTGTAACAGAAAGTCACTTACTTTCTCATAAATTTATAAAAAACTTAAACGATTCTTGTGTGTTTTACAGATTCCCGAGTCGCTACTGAGCTCTCTGAGGGATCTAAGTGTACGATTTGGAGCAACTTCATTGGTGAAACAATGTGAAGAAGTGATTGAAAGATTCAAATTGAATAAAAAGCTGTTTGATTCAGGAAAGAACATAGAGATATCATACCCTAGTTCTCAGCCTCATTGTAGTGTTGCGTCTTTTCCTTTGGGGCTTCCTGTGAATGCGCAAAGACTTGAACAATTTCACACAACAGGCGAGTTTAGTGATGTCGATGTTAGCATTGAAGGCCATGGTCTTATTGCTCGATCTCATAAAGTCATTCTTGGTTTGTGGAGTCTCCCGTTTATGAAGGTGAGCGAATCTTTTCATCTGCTTTCTGCTTTATATTGCTTGTATCTAATAAAATAATTAAACTAGCAGATGTTCACAAATGGAATGAGTGAGAGTGTATCTTCCGAAATTTGCTTAAAAGAAGTCTCATCACCAAAAGCATTCAAGATCATGATCGACTACTTCTACAATGGAGGATTGAACTTAGAAAACACAGTCGATACCAATATCTTGCTACTTGAGCTTCTTCTATTAGCAGATCAATTTGGGGTTTCTCTCCTTCATCAAGACTGCTGCAAAACGCTTTTAGAGCAGCTTTCAGAGGTAGTTTGGATAAACCCTTTTCATTTCATGATATCATATATACAAATGTATTTTTATTTTTTTAATGAGATATTTGTTTTGTTAATATATTGTTTGATCACCGTTGTTTTGAAGTGTTACTCTAAGAGTACAAGGAAGTGGAGATTCGGAGTAGTGAGAACAAAGAGATGGATTTTTTAAAATAATGAATTATAAAATATTAATTAGTCTTGTCTATATATTATATGCAGGGATGGAATTTCATTTTCAAGTAGTGGACGAAGGTCTTACAACAACAATTTTTGTATTATGCACAAGGAAGAAGACAAATTTTGGCCAAGTAATCGAGTTTTTATTTATATATCTAATCATAATACTTTATTGCAGGGTTCTGTATGCCTAATTCTTCAAGTTATTCCCTCAATCCCTTCATGTAAACTTATAGAAGAAACATGTGAAAGGATATTCACAATGCATTTTGATTATTGTACAACGGCTTGTAACGACTTCATCTTGCTAGATCAATCAACTTTCTATAACATTTTACAGGTGGGTTTTAAATCCTAAATCTTTTTAACTTATTATATAAATTTATATTCTGTTTTTCATTTGTGTATAAAACAAGTTCATCTTATTGGTATACTTTTAAGACTGTGGGCTGCTTCTCTATATTTTGAGAAATGAACATGTCTTTATACAAAACATGGTTTTGCAGCATCCGGATTTGACTGTGACTTCTGAAGAGAGAGTTCTTAATGGGATCTTGATGTGGGGCCTACAACCACCGAGTGAATTATGTAATTGGGAAGTTGTTGACAACATGCTTTCTACTAACACTCCACAAGATCTTTTTGGGAAAAGGCTTCAATCTTTAAACATCTTGTTACCTCTCGTGCGCTTTTCATTGTTCCCTTTGTTCTTACTCAAAAAGGTAAATCTTGATTCTTGACTTTTTTTTCTTTTGAAATGTTTTTGGGTTTTGATTTTGTAATGTTGTTTCAGATGGAATGTAGCAATCTAAGCATGAAAATCCCGAGTTTTCATGATTTGGTGAAAGAGGCAATTGGGTTTTTGGAAGTGGGATTGCCTACTTCAGGGAATAATCCAAAGTATGTGTACATTAATATTTTAATATTAACTTTATCTTTATTTCCAAAAGTTGAGTAATTTTAATTTTAATTTTTTCGATTGTTAAGGTTTCAACATAGGCAATCGAGTTTTAAGGAGCTTCAATACATACGTGATGGAGATAGCAATGGAGTTGTTTATTATGTGGGGACATCATATGGCAAACACCAATGGGTTAATCCTGTTCTAGCTAAGGCAAAATTTTGCATCTTTTGATCATTTTTTTAAATATGAAAAAAAAAGGAATTGATTTTACATTATCTTTCAATAATTCTTTTTTTTTTGTACTCAGAAAATCAGCATTACAGCTAGCAATCCTATTTCAAGATACACAGATCCCAAGGTCTTGGCTTCACGAACCTACCAGGTACCACAATCAGTATAATCTTTTGATCATTTGACTAATTTACCCCTGGGCATAACCAAAATTACATGATGGAAACTAAGGGTAATCTTGGAACAGGGAACTTCTTTTGCTGGGCCCCGCATTGAGGATGGGAAGAACTGTTCATGGTGGATGATTGACCTTGGTCTCGATCACCAGGTTTCCTTTAATACTTATCTTATATATATATATATATATATATATATATATATATATATATATATATATATATATATATATATATATATCTTTTTTGTATATTGGAAACCTTATTTTATTTTCTGATTTGAAACAGCTGATGTGCAACTATTACACTTTAAGACAAGATGGATCAAAGGCTTTTGTGAGATACTGGAATTTTCAGGTACACTTGTTTTGACTTTTGACTATAGAAGTCAAATTGTGTAATGTCAATTTTGTACATGAAAAGTCAACTGTGACACGTGTTGACTATATTTAGGGTTCATCGGATGCTAAAAATTGGACAAATTTGAGAGTACATGAGAATGATCAAACAATAAGCAAGCCCGGGCAGTTTGCTTCATGGGCAGTTACAGGGCCCAATGCGTTGCTCCCATTTAGATACTTCAGGGTTGCTCTAGTGGGGCCCACAACAGACGATATCAACCCATGGACACTTTGCATTTGCTTCTTGGAACTTTATGGTTACTTCCACTAAATTCTCAAAAGCGTCTTTGTAGTTGTAAATATTCTTTTTTGCAGTGTTGTTAGTTTATTTGTAACCGAGATTAGGCCTCCATGTAACGTTTGCTCTCCCATTTTGATCTTGTGTTGTTGTATCAATTCGTGTTCTTGTTTGTTGTGAATCTTTGAAGAATAATATATAATATGCTTATGTTGTTGGATTCCTTCTTCAAGAGCTTTGCATGCTTTGAGTGAAGGAAACAAAGTTGTTGTTTCTTGAGAAAATGAATGTTAGAACAACGGAATTTGTGTTCATATAAATATGTGACCTTGATCAACATGGTTCCTAATTTTTGGTTTCAACGAGCTTAGTTTTCACATATAACTGGCCATAATTTTTTAACAAAAATAAAAAGTTTTAAAAACAAAGAACACCCGAGAGATAGAACACCGTGATAACAATGCATCAAAACACTTGAGTTGGTTCGTATTGAAATTAGGCGGTTTCTTCCACCAAATTATGCCTCAGAATAGAGATGTCCCACCAAGTACTAGAAAGTGATCAAATAGATGTGGTCTCTTTGTTGGAAGAAGTTGGTGGTGCATTTGGAGGGATTGATGTTGAATTGGTCTTTGTCCTTTTTGTAACTCATACAAGCTTGACATTTGAAGGTATTGTTGTTTACTTAGTAGACCTGGAGCAGGTTTGGAACGAATCGACATTGATCCAAACCTTTTTAAAAAATTTCAAAATCCGATCCAAACACGCTCTGTAATCCTCAGGGTTTTGAATAATCAAACTCATACCCTTATCCACCGAATCAGCAGATATCCAAACTCGCCCCGTAATCCGTAGGTTTTTTGAATAACCAAACACATTTTACTTAAATCATAAATTCACATTTATTAAATCAAACTAAGTTTTGATTTAGAAAACACATTATGTACTCGAGGATTTTTCTATTGGAATTAAAATCATTATTTTAGTTACTTCTGATTGGTTTTTGACTGTCGACTGCATTGATAGAGAATAGCAATTACAAACTTTCTTCTGGTTGATAAATGATCTTATTGATTTATAAATGAAATTTGTGATTACATGATGAAATATAAATGAAATGAATCATGACTCTTGGGAGAAGACTGGAAGTCTAGAAGTTGAGTCTTCGAATCCTATGTAAAAACAATTTAGTCTTTGGCTTTTTCACTTTGGACTTCTGATTGGAATTTAATGTAAACTTTAGGTAATATAAAATATTAATTTATATTTCTAAAAATTATATGGGGCAGGTTATAAACGGAGCGGATCAATGATGATCCATACCCGACCTTTTTAATAAAAGAGTTAGCGGGTATTGGTCGTTAACGGATAAACGGATCAAAAACTATGCTCTAAACCCGTATAATTGTTAAGGATTTGGATTGGATCAAGGTCAAAACTCGCTCCATTTCCAAGCCTATTACTTAGTCATGAAATCGTGTATTTTTGTGACTTTTGGTTTTTGCCACTTAAAAGTCTTAAAAACCAAGTCAAACACATTTTAAAAATCTATTTTAAAAAAAAAATCTTTTACAAAAAATCTTTTTTATAAAAAAAGACTTTTAAATTTAAAAAATAATTCCAAACACACTCTAAGTGTTTTGTCCTTTCTTCCACCTAACTTGAGAAGAAGTTGCTTAAGAATCTTTGTGTGAGTTATAAAAACGACAAAGCATCAAGTCAATATCGATCCTTTCACCATCCTCTAAGCCATAACATTGAGCTTGATGGAATAAATTTGTTCCAAGTGATTCAGGTACTACCCATAGGTAGACTTGACAATTCGTGTTGGTGTGCCTTTTTACACGATACGAATTTAACGATCATAAACACGACAGAAATTGTAGAACATATTTTGGGTATCAAACACGAACACGACATGTAATTAATCTATGTGACATATGACACAACAAAAATAAACATATTTTTGACCGAGTTAAATGAATAAACAGATAAACATGAATTTAATTCATGTATATACATGTTTGTATGTGTATATATGCATTTATACATGTTAATACGTGTCATTTGTCACATGTTTATATATGTATTGCGTGTCAACATATATTTAATTTGTGTTTAAACTAAAACACAAAATACAAATTTTAAATTCATATCCATACGAAACACGAATTTCTAAAACATATATACTGAAAACTTGTTTCGTGAATCAAATTGTTAGGTCTACCCACAGGCAAAATTGTGTTATATAAAAAGCCTCACACAAAGCACACCAAAGGAATCCAAAATCCAAATCCACATGTCTCTTTGATCAAGAAGATGAAAAACATGAAACGACTATAACATAGATTACATATCAAATACAACGGACAAAATTCGTCAGTGATTAATCAAAAAATAAAAATAAAAAATACTAACATACAGTAGCTTTTTATGGAATTTGATATTTAAAATGTAAAATTTTAATCGTCCATTTCTAGAACTTGATTTGGTTTTTCAACTTCGTTGGGGTTTTTGACTTTTTTCTATACAATATTGGACAGGACGTCAAAACCGACGGCAACTGCTAACACCAAACGGGTCTTGTCGGGTTACGCTTCGGGTCTTGTTGATTATCATTAGCAAGCAAACCTCTTTCCGTTTTAAAACTGCAAATCCAGAATTGGAGATTTAGGGCTTTTGAATTTTGATCTGAAAATGTCGCAACCGCGGAATACGAACTTGTATAGTATAATAGTGCCAACTTACAACGAACGACTCAATATCGCTCTCATCGTCTACCTCGTCTTCAAGCATATCCCGTAAGTTACATCCCTCTCTGTATGTATCATGTTTTAATCTATGCGATGGATGATTTGGGATTCTGCAAGTTAACTGCAAATCCATGGCTTGGAAAATTGGGGGAGCATCTGCTTAGAATTCGAACTAAATTAACCTAGATTTTAATTCTAAACCTTAGAGATCATTCATTTGAACACTAAATAAATACTATTTCGTTGCTTGCTAAACGTAAAATTGGGATGCTTGTTTAATTTTCTGTAAGATCTATGTAGTATGTATGTAGTTTCTACATGCCATATGAACGCGATTCTACCAATTTAATAATTTCTTGATCAAAAGCATACCAAAACAAGCAATACACTAGATTAATTTCAGTAATTTCTCAAAATCACAACTTTTCAACAAGGGAAACTTTAACTCAACTTTGAAGAAATACTAGCAACGGCTGCTCAGTGCTTACGAGATCTTCCCTTCAGTTTTGTAGCTACTTCTATTAAACTCTCCTCTAGCTACATGGCCATTATCATTAGCTCAAACTGAATTATGTTAACAGATTTTACACCCAATCCTCACTTCATGGTTGTTTTCAAATCATGACATATTGTTATACTTTCAGGGACATTAACTTTGAAATAATCATTGTGGATGATGGTAGTCCTGATGGAACTCAAGATATTGTCAAGCAACTACAGCAAGTCTATGGTGAAGATCGCATTGTATGTACACTATTTTTTACTTTTTTATATCTCTCATTTACATGCTAATAAGTCCTAATTTTGTTATCTTCTTAATGCAGCTATTAAGACCTAGGCCCAGAAAGCTTGGATTAGGTATCTCCTTATTTATTTAAGGAAAACATCAGATTATAAATTTATAAGCATGAATTAACCTAATTTTCTTTGTTAACCAGGGACTGCTTACATTCATGGTCTGAAACATGCTTCTGGAAATTTTGTCATTATCATGGATGCTGATCTGTCACACCATGTAAGTAATTTGTTTAAGGGCATTATAGTAAATTCCACTTTCTGCCAACTAATCAATCTGTTTCCTGGTTTCTTTCTCATGTAAATCTATCTACACAGCCAAAGTATCTTCCACAGTTTATAAAGTAAGAAACTTTCACAAATCTTGATGTTCAAATTCGTTTCCAATTTTCTAAAATTTACAACAAGGGACATAATAAATTCAGGAAACAAATGGAGACAGGGGCGAGTATTGTTACTGGGACCCGCTATGTGACAGGTGGCGGTGTGCATGGTTGGACACTTATGCGCAAATTGACAAGTAGAGGGGCAAATGTTCTTGCACATACACTTCTTTGGCCTGGTGTATCTGACTTGACAGGGTCGTTTCGGTAAATAATCTTGAAACATCAAATTTATCTACTTTTACAGTTGTAACATTTAACATTTTAAATTATATATAATATATTTTTTACTTGTATGGTGTAGTCTTTATAAAAAATCTGTGCTTGAAGACATTATAAGCTCTTGTGTGAGCAAAGGGTATGTTTTCCAAATGGAGATGATTGTTAGAGCATCAAGAAAAGGATACCATATTGAAGAGGTTCTTTTTTTCTTTATTTTTTTTTTCATTATTAAAATTACATAGGAATTGACTAATTTGGATTCTGTTTGGATGTTTTAGGTTCCGATTACTTTTGTTGACAGAGTTTATGGAAGTTCAAAGCTTGGTGGATCAGAAATAGTGGAGTACTTGAAGGGTCTTGTGTATCTTCTGTTTACAACATAAAGAAAGTAGGCTGAATATACTATTCTATATGATTGATAATCACACAGGAATTGCTTCTTGATTATTATTTCTAGTTGACAAGTGCATTTGACTCATATCCCTTGATTTCCTTAACCAATTGAATACCCATTTTGTAGCATTTTTATGAGAGAAATTTTCATATGATACTACTTGATTTTGATTTTGGGTTCTTTTACTGTGAAAGACATTTGTTTTAAAGATCTTTTGAAAGTTCTTGGTGCTAGTTACTCCATCGTATCATAATCATAAATAATAATGACAAAACTGCAAAAATGGTCCCTATGGTTTCTCAATTTATGTGGTTAAGGTCCAAATCTTTGAAAAGTTGTAGATTTGGTCATTTTCAACAAGTTTTATTGTGGTTTTGGTACCTCTTCCGTTAACTTTAACAACTTGTCTGTTAACTTTTTTAAAATGACTATTGTACCCTCATTGACCATTTCTGCAACCAAACTACAATGATTATTTCTACATATCTTTTTATTTTTATTTTTATTGAATTATTATATGTTATTTTTAATATATATACTAATTATATATTATTAGATATTGTTTTATTAATTTTTAATTTCTTTTAATTAAAAATTTTAATTTCTTTGTTATCACATATTTTAATTGGATTATTATATTTGAATAAATATTATTATTAACATATAATATTTATATATTAAATATTAATAGTTATTATTATATTGGATTATTAATTTATTTTAGTTAATTTTGTTTATTGGAGTATTTCTTTTTCATTTGATTATTATATA